CCCCCCTCGCTGCTGCTGCTGTGGGCTGCGCAGCGGAGGCCCTCGTGCATGTGGGGCCCCTCCACAAGCTTTGGCTGTCTCCTCCATCGCGGGTACGTACTGTCTCCTTTTATCTCCTTCTGTCCCCTTTTTCTTTCTTGTTTTTTTCGTTTGTTTCTTTTTTCTTTGTCTCTAGTTTCTCTGTCTCCTATTGGGGTGTCTCCTTCTCTCTCTCTGCTTCTGTCTCCTCTACCTTTTCACTGTCTCCTCACTCATGGCAGCACTAACCGAGCCTTGCTAGTGCGGTGGGCGCCTGCACCCTCTAGTGGGGCCCCCTGGGCCCTCTTGGGGGCCCCCGTGACCCTCATGGGGGCCCCCGTGACCCTCATGGGGGCCCCCGTGACCCTCCCAGGGGCCCTCCTGTGGAGCTCCCGAGGGGCCCCCTTAAGCTTTCTAGGGGCCCCCGTGTGCCTCTGGGGGCCCCCCGTGAGCCTCTTAGGGGCCCCCCTATGACGATAACAGGGGGGGCCCCCCTTTAAGCATATGAGGGGCCCCCCTTTGAACCTAGCTGGGGCCCAGGGGGCCCCTGGTTGTGTGTTTGTGTTTGTTTGCTTTTTAGGCCTTTGTTGACAGCACTGCGCCGCCCGCTGAGCCGCCAGCCAATAGCTTCGAGGTGAGGAGACAGATAAACAGGGAGACAGAAAAGGAGACACATGAGGAGACAGGAGACAGAAGGAGACAGATAAGGAGACAGATAGGGAGATATATAAGGAGACAGATAAATACAGAGACAGAAAAGGAGACACATGAGGAGACAGATAAGGAGACAGATAAAGAGACAGATAAAGAGACAGATAAATAAAGAGACAGATAGGGAGACACATGAGGAGACGGATAAATAAAGAGACAGATAAAGAGACATATAAAGAGACAGATAAATAGAGAGACAGATGAGGAGACAGAGAAGTAAAGGGACGTATAAGGGGACAGATAAAGAGACAGATACAGAAAGATAAAGAGACAGATACAAATAGATATAGAAAAGGCGACAGATAAGGAGACAGCTAAGGAGACAGATGTAGAGGAGACAGATAAAGAGACAGATAAGGAGACAGATGAAGCATCTGTGTACCTCTCTATGTGTTTATTTATGTGTCTTTATATATCTCATTTCTTCTAACTCTGTTTCTATCTGTCTCCTTTTTTATCTGTCTCCTTTTTTATCTGTCTCCGTTTTTATCTGTCTCCTTGCGTGCTGCTGTCTCCAGTCTCAGTTTGACTCTGACTCCTTTAAGGCCCTAAAGGAGACATTCGCTGCTCACCTGCCGCCCCCAGACCCTTCGGGGGGCCCCCCAGGGTCGGGGGGCCCCCCAGGGTCCGGGGGCCCCCAAGGGTCAGGGGGCCCCCCAGGGTCCGGGGGCCCCCCGGGGTTCAGGGGCCCCTTTTTAAAGGTGTTGGGTACTGGCTCTGCGTCTCCTTCTCACTACCGCAATGTCTCGGGTTCTATTCTCGCTTTAACTCCTACCTTAAGTAAGGAGTGCATGCATGCAGATGCATGCATGCAGATGCATGCATGCATGCAACTGCATGCATGCATGAGCATGCAACTGCATGCATGCATGCATGAGCATGCATGCATGAGCATGTATGCATGCATGCAACTGCATGCATGCATGCATGAGCATGCATGATCAAACACGTGTCTGCTGCTGCTGTTGTTCCTGCTGCTGCTGCTATTGTTGCTGCTGTTCTTACTGCTGCTGCTGCTGCTGCTGCTGCTTGGTGTGTCTCCTTTGTTGCAGGCATAGTGCTTGACTTTGGTGAGGGGTCTCTCTCGCAGCTGCGGGCCGCCACGGAGACAGAGGAAGAGTTCGTTCAGCTGCTGCTCTCTGTACAGTCCGTCTCCTCCTCCTGCTGCTGCTGCTGCTGCTGTTACTCCTGCTGCTGCTGCTGCTGCTGCTTGTGGCCGTGCTTGTGTCTGATGTATGCATCCCCTTTCTCTGCTTGTTCGATAGCTGTATCTGTTGTACTCAGATTTATATATATATATATATATATATATATATATATATATATATATATANTATATATATATATATATATATATTTATATTTATATGTATATTTATATATTTTTTTTTAGGTTTATATTTATATCTCACAGCCACGCTGACCACCACCTGGGGGTGTTGACGCTGCTGCAGACGCGGGCGGTTCTATGGCCCGAAGCAAAGCCCCCCATCCTTATAGCCCCTGCACGCCTGCAGGTCCTGCTGCTGCTGCTGCTGCTGCTGCTGCTGCTGCTGCTGCTGCTGCTGTTTCTTGCTGCTGCTGCTGCTGTTGCTGCTGCTGGTGATGCTGCTGCTGTTGTTCGTTCTGTAACGGCTGCTGTTGCTGCTGCTACTGCTGCTACTGCTGCTGCTGCTGTTGCTGCTGCATCTTTGTTGCTTCTATTTGGCTCTTATTATAGTCTGCGGTACAACCGAAGCGACAGAATATCTATGCCGCGGGTTTAGGGTTTAGGGTTTAGGGTTTAGGGTTTAGGGTTTGTATGCAGGAGTGGTTTGAGTTTGTGTGTATGGAGATGGCGGCGATGCCGCATATATTTGTTTGCTGCGAGGCGCTGACAGCAGAACTAGAGGAGACCTTCTGTCCCCTTCATCTTCCTGCTGCTGCTGCTGCAGCATGGACGGGAGAGGCAGAGACACTGCAGCTCAGGACTGTTGCAGTAAGCAGCATGCTCCTGCTGCTGCTGCTGCTGCTGTTGCTGCTCACGCAGCTCGTGCTGCTGCTCCTGCTACTGCTAGTGCTCCTGCTGCTGCTGCTGCTGCTAGTTCTCGTGCTGCTGCTGCTGCTGCTGTTGGCCATGCTGCTGCTACTGCTGCTGCTGTGTTTGTAGGTGTGTGTATAAGGGTTTAGGGTTTACGAGGGTTTGTGTGTGTGGTGTATGCAGGTGGACCACATCCCTGACTCTTTTGGTGTTCGTGTTGATTTTGGTGGGGTTGCTGTTGTTTACTCAGGAGACACTCGCCCCTGTCCCCAGCTCTTTGCTCTCGCAAACAAATGCACTCTTCTCTTTCATGAGGGTACGCAGGCTGCTGCTCCTGCTGCTGCTGCTGCTGCTGCTGCTGCTGCTGCTGCTGCTGCTGCCGCTGCTGCTGCTGCTGCTGCTGCTGCTTCTGCTGCTGCTGCTGCTGATGCTGCTGCTGCTGCTGCTTCTGCTGCTGCTGCTGCTGATGCTGCTGCTGCTGAAGCAACAGCAGCTGCAACAGCAGTTGCAGTAGCAGCATGAGTTGCGGCTGCTGATGCAGTAGCAGCGACAACAGGAGCAGCAGCAGCAGTAGCAGCAGCAGTAGCAGCAGTAACAGCAGCAGCGGTAGGAGGAGCAGCAACTACAGTAGAAGCAGCAACTGCAGCAGCAACAGCAGCAGCAGCAGCAGCAGCAGCAGCAGCAGCGGCAGTACCAAGAGCATGAGGAGCAGTAGTGGAGGACGCAGCAACAGTAGCCTCTGTCTCTTTCTGTCTCCTGTCTCCTTCTGTCGCCTGTCTCTTTCTGTCTCCTCTCTCTCTCTGTCTCTTCTCTCTTTCTGTCTCCTGTCCCCTTCTGTCTCCTTATGCTTCTTGTGTCTCTCTGTCTCCTCTCGCTTTCTGTCTCCCCTGTCTCTTTCTGTCTCCTGTCTCCTTCTGTTTTTCTGTCTCCTCTCTCTTTCTCTCTCCCCTGTCTCTTTCTGTCTCCTGTCTCCTTCAGTTTTTTGTGTGTCTCTGTTTGCTGTGTCTCGCATTCTCCTGCCTCTTTCTGTCTTTTGGTGTCTCCTTTTGTCTCCTTCTGTCTCCTCCTGTCTCCTTTTAACTCCTTCTGTCTCCTTTTGTCTCTTTTTGTCTCCTTTTGCCTCAACGTGTCTCCTTCTGTCTCTTCCTGTCTCCTTTTCTCTCCTTTTCTGTCTTTTTGTTGTCTTCTTTTGTCTCCTTTTGTCTCCTTTTGCTCCCCTTTGTCTCCTTTTGTCTCCTTTTCTCTCTTTCTGTCCCCTTTTCCCTCTCTCTCTCCCCTTTTATCTCACTTTGTCTCCCTTTGTCTCCTTTTGTCTCCTTTTGTCTCCTTTTGTCTCCTTTTTCAGCTACTTTTGAAGACAGTCTCCTCTCTGAAGCCATCGAAAAAAAACACTCCGCTATCAGCGAAGTCCTTAAAGGGGGTAATATATATATATATATATATATATATATATATATATATATATATA